AGTTATGGTTTTGGAACAGTTTTAATTCTCTAGTATAACTTAAACTTGCATCTTATGATTGAAACCTTAAAGCATAATTATTATATTATAGTTCAGTAAAATTTGCTAATACCTAATTGATTACAATCTGTTTCTAGCCAATGCTAACTATAAATTAAGCTAACTCTAATACAAATTAGGCCTTTTTTTTTTTTTTTTAGCAAAATAGCTATGTATTAGTAAAATAATTGTTAGTAAAATTGATGCGTATTACTATAAATAATTTAAAATATCATTTTCTTTAACTTCTATGCAGTAAAAACCTTTTGGCTAAATCATAAGGTTGATAAATTTGATTTACTTTATATCTAAAATATAATTCAGTTTCAAACATTTGAATATTTTTTACAGAGTAATCTATAGCAAAATTATTGACTGGGCATTTTTTACTAAATGAATGGGCTATGACTCATTAGTAAAATTTTTAGTGATCTTGGGCAGGGTTGTGAATAGACAATAGACAAGCCAATAGACTCATTAGACAGTCTAATAGTCTAATGATATCTAATCAAGCCATTAGACAATAGACAAATAAATATATAATTTAAAGTTATCTGATTGGTTAATTTTAATATCATAAATTGGCTAAGTATTGAATAGACCATTACTGCATTAGACATAATAGATGATTAGACAATTAGACTATGTCAATTTCGGCACATCCGACCGAGATTTCAATGCATTTATCAGTGTTCCGCAAAAAAGATCCGAGCGGATCCGCTATTTTTAATGGATCATTTCACAAAGGGTACCAAAACTGAAACTACATATAATTAATATGAAAACACACTACAAGAAACAGGCTCCATTTGTCTCTCTCATGCGTCTATCACCAGTAGATCCGGATCCAGTTTATTCAGTGAGTTTGAAAGCCTGCTATTGGCTACAGGTACATGTGAAAGACAAGTGGAGCCTGTTGCCGGTAGTGTATTTTCCATATTAATTATATGTACAGTTTTAGTTCGAGTCTACACTTTGTAAAATGCTACTTTCATGCCTATTAAAAATAACGGATCCGTTCGGATCTTTTTTGTGGGACACTAGGATAGGCCCGGAGCTAGGCCGGCATTAAGCAATAACGATAATACCTGCCAACTATACTAAATCAAAATTATCATCTGGGCAGCTTTACTTAGTACGTGGGCTACTATTTTATTAGTAAATTTTGGGAGAAATTTATCAATTCAGGCCTATTCCGACCCTAAATTTTGGTTGCTCCACTAATTTATCCTTTCTGGAATATAATATCGATATTTCATCTATTTGAGTGACAGATAACTCAAAAACCTGTAAACCGATTCACTATCTTTTACTTTATCGGGCTCGACCTCTGCCGTATTCTGGTCTAAATTAAACCTGATCGGAAAATCTCGAAACGTGATTTTCCTAGCAAAGTTCCCATAACATAAGTTATTAAATGAGAACTAATCATGTGAAATCAGATAAATTTTAGTGAATTAATTTAAGGTTTTCACCGGCTAATTAATTAATTTACGTATAAACAAAGTTAATCTTTTATCGTTATAGGCAATGATGTAATATAGGTTTTCTAATTCTATAAATTTGATTGCCGAAATTATGTGGGTATATATATACTATGTAATTTATATATATATATAGTTTAAGATGGATCTGAATGTATAAATTTTTATTTAGTACTATATATAGTTTTGATTTATATAGTATATCGCACATCCCAACGTATCATGTTTAATGTTTCGATAGTTTGATTGGACGTTGGACATCTAATACGTATGTACTAATATTGAAGATTTTTGGTACAAAGTCAATTGATATGTTCTTTGATTGCAAATTTCAAAGACTATGAAAATTTAATTAGATGTACATTAAAACTGGTTATTATAAATCCAAATTTTGCACACATTAAGGTTAAGTTTCAAAGAACAAAGTTACGAAGCCAAATAAGTCTTTCTATTGAAGAAAAATATTATTTATTTGAAAAATTTTTAAATGAATGAAGTAGCGATTATACATAAAAAAAAGATCTGAAAAAAAAATGGGTTTCCCATAGATAATGTAAAAATAAACTTCGTAACTTTATAGATATGGTAACAACCAACCAATTAATATCAAAATAGCTTTACTAAAAAGAAAAAGTGAGACATATAAATCATATTAAATAAATGATCACTAAAAAATCCAGACTAATTAAAATATATAAGTGACCACACATAGTTTTGATTTATATAGTATATCGCACACCCTAATAATACGTAACTAATTATTAGCATAAGTTTAAATCCGATTTTGATTGGTCAAAAAGCACTTTTTTTATTATTAGAGCTCGAAATTTTAAAAATCAATTGAATTACTTCGACAGCTCATGTAATTATTCAATTGCATATAGAGCTGGTTATTGTTACTACAGTAATTGTTGTAATAAAAATTTTACCATTATAAGACTCTTATTGCTACGTATATCGCAAATCATTAATGTTTTGGGAATTCTATTTTGACTGTTTGATAACGTCACGTTGGTACATTTTGATCGCATTTTTTGACAATCAAAAATTTCATTGTACCATCATGATGTATCTCAAAATTATCATGCTATATTGATCATAAATTATACCGTTTATGTTTTTTTAAAAACCTGTGTTCGTGTAGTGTAAGTATGGATGACGGTGTAATATTCATGATCAATAGTGACCGTACTATAATTTATAGTTATTATTTTTACATTTAACTACATTATGTTATTTTATTCATTAAAACTTGTGACCTTAGTGTGTGTTATTAGGATCTAATGTATAATTATTATAATCATTCCGCTATCTGTATTTACCATATGATAAAACTATAAAAATCCGAAATTTTTGCTTTCTCTCTTTTTTAAAACTACCATTATGAATCAACCTGCAAATCAAGCAGTTAGAGGTCAGCCTTTAGCACCTCAAAACGCTAATATTCCTTTAAATTCACCCTTTGATAATCTTACTGCCGAAAAAAAATATGAAATTTTAACTAATGGTACAAATCCATTTACTGTACAAGAAACGGAAAATCAGGCAGTTCAATTCCAGGACTTTATTTTTTCGGGATCACACTTCGGATAAGCAAATTATATGATTTTTTCACTCAAGAACTTTTTTTTAAAAAAAAGTCTAAACATTTTTCCTGAATCTTTATATGTATTTATACTTTCATTTTATGCAGATTATATGATAAAATTTTTTAGTTTACTTCCATAAATTTTCACTATTCCTCAAACCACCATACTATCATCATTATTAGTCTTGAGTGATGGACTATAGTTAGACAAATTTTCCTGCAGGATGATTTAAAGAATCATAATATTATATATATCTTGAGATTTCTACCTAAAGTATATAGTATGAGTGCGAAAGTAGTTCATACTCATGTGTATAGTAAAGCTATTATACCGACCATACTTATGTGTAGTAAATACTATTATACTATTTTTAAATAACTGTCGATTAAAAATTGACATAATTTTAAAATTTATATCGATTAATATGTACTATACGTCAAGTCTAAGCAAGTTTAATGAAGTATATTTTAATGTAAAAAGAATTTATTCCTGTACTAAATAATATATTCTCAAAATTTTATCATTTTCAAGATGTTTTATTGTCCTATAAGGTAGTTTTTTTAGTAGTGTAGTAAATGGCATAATTAATGAATATAATTTGTATGTAATATAAAAAATAAATAAAGTTGTTTATTCTTTTATTTCGTTTCTTTCTTTCTTTTTTTTAATTCGTGATAATTTATTATTATTAACGTTAATAAAATTACTAATTAGAATATGACATACTTATTTTACAATTTTGTATCAAATTTTAATTGACAGAAATTTAAAGTGACGTCTAACAGTTTTTTATTCATACAAGTTAGTACTGTAAATTGCCGCATAAGCTTATAGAAGACCCCCTTCTAGCAGACCCGGGTCTGTTACTTGGGTTCAGTGAAAGGTAAAAAGTATAAGACCCGGGTCTATTATGTGGTCACGTATTATATATCCGTCATAAGAATGTTTGATTTTATTTGGTCAATAATCTTTTTATCGCACAACAGACCCCTAATAGTGGACCCTCCAGACTTCCCGGGTCTGAATCAATTTTCACGCAGGCTTAAAGTAACAGACCCGGGTGGTTTATGCAGCCATTTACGGTATGTCCGACAAGTGAGTATATCTGACGCATATTCTAATAGACATATATATACGTTATACGTTTTTTATACCTCATACTATATTTCTTTAGGTAATACCTTCCCAGACACCCCAATGACACCGACGTAGGGTTCAGGGCACGGGTAAAACATTGTGCATGCCCTTAGGTCGAGGCATATCTTCCCCAGTATCGCCATCAAAATTCACCCCACGTGACCAACGACAAAATTTTTTAAGTTCGTTTAGGGTTTGGGTAAGTCCTTATAGAATCATCCAGGGTGACCATAAAAAGTGCAGTATATCGAATTACAATAACTGATATGCAGTTGAAAAGAGCACTAATAGCCACGATATATATTAGATACATGATCACGTTACTGCACTTTTTTATGGTAATATTAGGATTTGTGTTTAGGCGATTATATAGTAACTTTTTTATTAGTGCACGAAAGGTGGCTTGGCGAAAGCGACGTTTGTTTTGATCGTGTTACGTTACATTAAATTGTGATCTGTTATTGGCCAATAATCACGTGAGCGTGAATTTTTGAATATATCAAAATTCAGCCGACAGATTTACTTATAAATTCGAAAATTTTTTAAAACTTCTAGCGATAATTTCTCTATAACTACTTGATCAACTAAATCGGGTAAATTTTTACTTTTTTGAACTTTAAGCTAGTGATTTGAATCGGTTGAGCTATATTCGGTTAATCGACCCGAATTGAATAAATCTCGGTTAACCGGTTGAGGAAATTCTTAATCGGTTGACCCGATACAACCGGTTGAGAATTGGGTAATCGGTTGGCGGA